TAGTGGCACTCTGTTAAATCTGTAGAGTGCTCACCACTAACGGGGTGGACATTCCCAACTGAACAAGCAAGCTGCAAAGATGTCCTGTAAAAGGAGGAAATGTTATCTGACCTCACTAGGACAATGAGAAGCTCCTTTGCACTATGCAAACTTACCATTCAACAGTGAGCAATGCAAAGACAAATGTCCCAGAATTAAAAATTTTAGAAGCCATATATTCACTCAGCAACTTAAAGTTTAAAGTCTAAATTCACTCTTCAAAAATTACTTTCTCTTTTAAACATTTTCTCTTAATATTGAAAAAATTAAAGAGGAATTTCCAAGTCTTCCTCACTTGAGGAAGATTTGGAAAAACCCCAGACCTAAACTAAAAGCAGTGATCTTGGCCAGCAGTTTCCTGGCTTCCCTTTGCTATTATTAAGTGTCCTTCTGTTTGACTAAGAATTTCTCCACCTCTCACAAACCATTTTTTTCTTTCTGAGTCCAGAAGAATCTGAAAACCATGTGTTTATAATGAGTCTGTTGCTATGCAAATCATTAAAACACATTACAAAAATCTTTCCTTTGAGTCAGGAGAATATGATGGAGGAACATGAACTGTTAGCAAGAGTCCCTTTGCTGAACAGAAAAGCTGGCAAAAAGGAATATGAGAAGCAAAGCAAAATGGAAAGAATTATGGTGGTCCCATCCCTTGAGTCATTTTAACCAATGGGGAAAAACTAATATTTTTGAAGGTCCAAGGTAATATATCTTATGGTTTGTAGTGGAGTTAACAAACAGTGGTTCTTAATCTCTTTAATTCCTTTGCTTTCATGACTCATCCCCATCTGTCTACTAGTATGTCCTTCTTTTCACTAGTTTTTTTCACACTTCTGTAATCATATCAAGGGATTTCTCTTTTTTTCCCCTTTTACTTATATTCCTGTGTGCATTTTCCTTTTAGTGTCTTTTGTCCTCTTGTTCAGTTATCACCTTAAGATAGGGCTTGAACTATCCATTTCTTCTCCAACACAATCATACTATCTTGGCGGGTTGCTCTCATTTATGAAGAGACTTGCTCCTCAAAAGTCCTATCTAGCAAATGAGATGTACATAACTGTCAAATTAATGTCAAAAAAAAGTAGTACGTCCCAACTTCCTAATTCAAAACAATTTGTACTTGATAATTTTAAGAAAGCCAGTCACTTCAATAAAAAATATGCAACTAACATCATTCTCAAATTGTTGTTGTATTGTTCAGAATATACAGCCTGCAAGTTTCCAAAGGTGGGATTGCCTAGGGACAAGAAATGAAATAAACAACCTTTAAATATATCTCTTTTACCTCTATGTGTCTTCATATATATTTATGGGTTTATATACACATTAAAAAAAACAGTATTAATCTATACTCTTTGTTCTTACTCAGACAGAAGAAATGGCTGGTCATAATGAATGCTATAGAACCTGTTTTACTCACAAACAGAAGAAGCCAAACCATTGCAAACATGTGTTGGGTGAAAACAAGTTGGGTTGGCTGCAGACAAAGGCTTATTTTTTAAGCACAGATGGTCGAATGGTTGCCTCCTCCAACGGGTTGCCCGCAAATGAAAGACAGATTTCTATTTCTAATCTATGCAAATATCTTACTCTGCAGGGTATCACAAAGACTAACTGTTTTGTGTCAGACGCTGCAGATCCCAGGTGCTCTCAGAGATCCCAAAGCCCAACTCTACCTGAGATGCCTGGTAACTCGGATAACAGTGGGTGACTGGAAAGTTAGTCATTAACCAGCTCCTAATGAATGCTGTTGAGGCCTTCTGTGAAACATTTCTCTGGACTCCTGCCTCCCACTGCTTCCCCTTGGCTGCTCTGTCTGGAAGACAGTTTCAACATTCAGTTCCGACCTCAGATACTGCTACAAAAACCTCCCGAGAAGGCTCAGATTCCCAAAGGCTCATAAGGACTGTTGGTAGCATGCATCACCTTGTGTTCCGCTCATCCATCCATCTCTAACACCACACCCAGAAAACCTGAGCATCTGAGAACGTTATTCTGTCCAACCAGGTCTCCTTTATACCCTAGTCCATCCTCCTGCAACCCATGGCACATCTCACTGAATGAGTCACACCTGGGTTGTTGCTGGTGGCCCTCAATCCTTCCAAGTATATGTCATTCCCTTTTTCGTTTCTTTCCATCAACTTTCCTTTCTTTACTCACAATGCTTTTTTCTCTTATTTCTCCACTTCCCCAGCTTAAAAGTCTTTCGCTTTGCACTGACATCCCTTGGCACACTCCAGTTTTAGGGCCCCTTGGGGGCAACAACAATTTCTGCAATACTGAAAACACACACACACACACACACACACACACATATGAATTCTTCATGTTAACCTACTCCTAACTTTCTTTTTTTTTTGAGTCAGGGTCTTACTTTGTCACCCAGGCTGGAGTGCAGTGGCACGATCACGGCTCACCATACCCTCAACCTCCTGGGCTCAAGTGATCCTTCTACCTCAGCCTCCTGAGTGGGACTACAGGCATGGGAACCACCATATCCACCTAATTTTTTGATTTTTTTTGTAGAGACAAAGTCTTGCTATGTTGCTTAGGCTGGTCTCAAACTTCTGGGCTCAAGCAATCCTCCCACCTTCACCTCCCAAAGTGCTGGAATGATAGGCATGAGCTACCACGCCTGGTCCAGCTCCTAACATCATTTGCCATAATGAGCAAGTTATACTTGAAAGCTACATAATTTACTTCCAGTTCCAATGTTTAAGTCTAGAAGTGTCTCTCAAGGTTTTATATTTTTTCTTGTTAGTTTTTCTGATTCAATGACAGTGACAGAGTTTGCTTCAAAAATCCTGTGTTGGAAAACACTTCTTTCTCTCCTTACTAACCTTTATATATTTTTTGAGTCAGAGTCTCCCTCTGTCGCCCAGGCTGGAGTGCAGTGGCATGCTCACAGCCAACCCAGCAACGACCTGCTGGGCTCAGGCGATCCTTCCAAGTAGCTGGAACCACAGGTGCACGCCACCACACCTGGCTAATTTTTTGACATATTGTAGAGACGCGGTCTCACCAAGTTGCCCAGGCTGGTCTCGAGCCTCTGGGTTCAGACAATCCTCTTGCCTTGGCCTCCCAAAGTGCTGGGATTACAGGCTTACTAACCTTTATCTTCAATGAACCAGGTTCACTAAGAAAAAACAAAATCTAAAGGAAAAGGAAAGAAGTCCTTTCTAACCTCCACTCTCGATAACCACTCCCACCACCAAAACTTCTCATGCCATATGCCTCCATCTTTCAGATTTAAAAACTCTTTGTTTTAGTTTATAAATACAAATATCGTCAAATAATGCAGCTTTAAGTCTACTTACCTAGAAAACCTAAAACAGTAAAGCATTTTAGAGGCTAACTAATTCACTGATTCCTAAGTTTGGGATTTGAGTAGCAGAGCCATCAGAAGAGCACGATTTCATTTTAAACAATACATCCTCTTGATCCCCAGCCCTAGACATTAAAATCTAGACTTCTGGTACAGTTCTAGAATCCACATTTATAATAAATGCTCATAAAATAGACTATGACAAAGCAGACCCTGGTCTGTTTGAGAACCAATGGTCTATTCCAACATCCACCCAATATGGCAGTTCCTTTTACAGGACACCACACAGGCTACCTAGTCTATGTCTATATGACAATATTCATCAAGACCAGCACTCTTACCCTTTTGTAAGTCTTGTTGTTTTATTTGTATATATATATATGGCTTTCATTATTAGAAACTGTATTCCTCCCCGCCTTTGGGAGGCTGAGGTGAGTAGATTGCCTGAGCCCGCGGCTTCGAGACCCGCCTGGGCAGCGAGACCTCATCTCTACAATAAATCAAAAAATCAGCCGCGTGGTAGCGCATGCCTGTAGTTCCTACTACTTGGGAGGCTGAGGCGGAAGGATTGCCGGAGCCCAGCAGGCGAGGCTGCGGTGGCCGGGAGCGGCCACTGCACTCCAGTCTGGGTGACAGAGTGAGACTCCAACTAAAAAAAAAAAAAAAGAAACTGTATTCCTGTGTTGTGCCATAGAGCGAGTCTTTCAACTCCTTCACTTATTGTAGGCCCTAATCTTGAGCTCCAGAGTGAACACAGAATTTCCCTTCCTACAAAAGATTATGTACATATCTAAAGGTAGCTACTGTGCCCTTTCAATACTTCATTTTTCTAAGCTTACACAGCCGTTTTCTTTTAACTTCAACAACACAATTCCTGAGTCTCTCTCCATTTCAACTGTTCTCCCTTAACACTAGGCCTTGCAGAAGAACATTAGAACACCACTACTTCATTTTTCCTCCAGAACGAGCTTTTATCAATATGCACTAATTTCTAGTCTATGTTTTACCCTTATCACTCACTGTCTTTCATATGATGGTCCAAGAACCAGAATCAGCAAGCACTTATTAACCTAATGCTGTGTTTCTGGCACTGTGTAAAGTATCCAAGGAGGATTCAAAAGCTAGCAGAAACTGTTCCATTTTGAAGAGTGGATAATTTCTAGTGCAGGATGAACTTGGATAAGTGAAATAACTTGAAAACAGTGTACAATAGTATGCAATAGAGTGCTTAAAATGAATATCACAGCCTGGGCATGGCGGTTCAACCTAAAACTCCAGCAACTTTGGGAGGCAAGAGGAATGTCTGAGCCCAGGGGTTCAAGACCAGCTTGGGCAACTTGGTGAGACCTCATCTCTATAATAAATCAAAAAATCAGCTGTTAAGTCACAAAATTCTACCTGGCTCAAGACCACTACTGCCTTATCTGCATTACAGGAAACTGCTGGAGTTAGCTACTTGGATTCAGTCACAACTCTAAAGCTACAAAGCAACTAGTAAACAATCCCCAACTCTCCCACCCTCTTCCCCCACTACACACACCCACACATCCCTAAACCAACCAGCTCATCTACTTCAACAGAAGCCTCACTGTTAGTACACACCCTTACATGGAACACAGGGGAAAGATGAACCTACCTTGTGGCCTCTTGCTGAAGCCATGACACATTTGGCACATAGAACATGACTCCGAAGAAGAGCAGAGGCTCATTAGCGAATTTGTCCAGATGTTTCTTCAGAGGTTTCTCCAGCTCCACCCATCGTGCTTGCTGGCTCTTGCTGAGAAACCAAAGGCCAAAGTAGTGCGTCTAGATAAAAAGATAAAGTAGCATCAGTTCATGCTTACCACAAGCATTCCCAAGATCATACAGGAAACAGGACTCCAGCGCTTTGCCACAGCTTTGGTTCCCCCAGCCCATACATATAGATCCAGCTTGTACTTTCTAACCCTGGGCCAAATAAAAAGAAACTACATCTATACAATAGTGCAACCTACAAGGAGTATCCAGATGCAGTATTCATATCCACTTCTACTGCTAATGCACATAGACACCAATGTACCCATGCAAGGGAATGGTCAACTTGCAGGCTGGGGACAGTGCCGCCTTTTCCTCTAGGATCTGAAGGCTGACTTTCTTGCATGCCTTCTGAATGCCTCAGGATCTCACATGGTACATGCTGGCAAAGGCAAACATGGCTCTCACACCTGTTGCAAGGTAACTTATCACTCAACTCCTAAGACAAAATCTTCCACCAACTGAAAGTTTCTACATTGTAGAATATTTTTACACGGTACCAGATTTTAACCAAAAAGGTATTCATTCCTTTTGAGCTTTAATGAAGTACATTAAAAAGCACTGCCCTCTTCCACTTTATTATACATAAACTGCAGCAAATCTCTCCCCGTACCAAGCTTCAACAGTGGAAGGCCCTCCTCTCCTCAGCTGTTGCAGAAGCCCCTGGTGACTGTTCTTGGCAGATTATGGTGGGATTTGATAGATGAAAGTGAGATTTTCGACCTTAGACTGGAAGCCTCAACTAGTTTAGTTTTGAACAGCATGCTAAATGATTAAAACTGGTACTTTTATGCACCCAATCCCTTCTTAATATTAATTCATGCTAGGATTTCAGGATTAGCACAACAATCACCAAAAAATAGATCACTGCTTTTGAAGATTCTTTTATATTTCAATTATGGCCTAGAATGGTTTACAGCACACCTGGAAATCTGCCTTCAAAAGAATATTTTCATTACAATGTTTAATTTCCAAGGGCATTTTTCGCTGATGTTCCCATTCCACCTGGCTGTCCCCTGAACGTTACCACAGATCAATCCCTGACACAACCCCACCAAAATCTCTAATGAAGCTTTGACTCAGACTTTACTAGAAAACCAGGTGTGTCCTTACCTACATAAAGTTGCAGACCCAGATGCTTTAAGTGATATTTTTATAACTGATTTACTTTGAGATGGGAACAACAATTTGATCGGCTTTCCTTCATGACATTCCAAAGGACAAGTTCACATCAGAAATCTGCATTTCTTGAGAACACATGCCAACAACCAGATCAAGGTTATATTTCTGTCAACTTAGACAAACTTGCATGAGTGAATTCTGACCCTATTTTTTATTTCCTAACTTAAGTGAGTCCATTAGTTGTCAGGATGTGTGGGTGATGACATAGAGGAAATGAAATGTAGCTGAACAGAAAGAAAACAGGCTTCAGCCGGGCTCGGTGGCTCAGCCTGTAATCCCGCGCCTTTGGGAGGCTGAGGTGAGTGGACTGCCTGAGCCCGTGGGTTCGAGACCCACCTGGGCAGGCGAGACCTCATCTCTACAATAAAATCAAAAAATTAGCCGGGCGTGGTAGCGCGCGCCTGTAATTCCAGCTACTAGGAAGGCTGAGGCGGAAGGATCGCCGGAGCCCAGCAGGTCGAGGCTGCGGTGGCCGGGAGCGGCCACTACACTCCAGTCTGGGCGACAGAGTGAGACTCCAACTCAAAAAAAAAGAAAAAGAAAAAAAAAGAAAGCAGGCTTCAAAGTCAGTTCATCTCCCAGCTTCAGCATTCACTGGCTCAGTAACTACAACAGGTAACTGAGTCTCCCAGAGCATTCTTTTCTTTTCTGTAAGATGATGGTTAAAATTCACACCCAGTCGCTGTGAGGGGTGTAAGTGAGATAATGCCTGTCAACCATACCACGTGCACAGAACATGGCAAGTAGCTACTTCACAAATGGCGCCTTCTGCTGCACCATTATCATCATCATCCTCATTAATAAATGAAAGTAGGCAAGCCTTATGAATCTTTTCAGCAGCACTACTGGCATCGTTAAGAACCACAGAATTAGAAAACAGAGGTTATCAGGAAGTAAATGAGAAAAAGCAGGCAACAACAGAGGCTAGAATGTCTATAAATAACAAAAATATTTTAATGGTATAAGGAAAAAAGTCACAAAGTGGTGCCTCCCCTAAGATTTTCTTGAGAGTATCATTTTAGGTGATATTGAGACACTGGAGCCTCACTCTGACACTGTCCTCGGGGATCTAGGATGTAGGCTTAAGTTAAGCTTCAAATGGGGTCATCTGGATATTCAAGACAATAAGCTTGTCCAAAAACGGTCCAAGGCAGTTCTGCATTATACAGAATTCCTTCATGGAGCACAGTGCCATATAAGCATATTCCACTGTGTTCTGGGTGACAAGGTGTGAGTCTGCATGGAATAAATTAGGTGATATATGTAAACTGTAATGTGCTCTGTACTAGTTATTATAGTTGGAAAAGTGCCCTTTCACAAGCATGAGTGCAAGAAGAGAGGGCAAGTTCACAATTGCTTAAAAGGCTAACCATGATTTATTATCTGTCACTAAAAGTCATGTCGACATTTCAGAGATATTTTTACGGTCCATACTTCATTCAAATTAATAACATTCAAATTATAGAGGGTCCACAGTAACTGCATAAATAATCTAAAATCAATTTTGAAGGTTAAAAAACCTAAAATATCTGTTGCTCCTATGACTTGAAAACTAGTATTCTAGGGCAGGCTCGGTGGCTCAGTCTGTAATCCCAGTGCTTTGGGAGGCAGAGGTGAGTGGATTTCCTGAGCCCACGGGTTCGAGACCCGCCTGGGCAACTTGGCGAGACCTCATCTTTACAATAAATCAAAAATTAGCCGGGTGTGGTAGCACGCGCCTGTAGTTCCACCTACTTGGAAGGCTGAGGCGGAAGGATCACCGGAGCCCAGCAGGTCGAGGCTGCAGTGGCCGAGAGCGGCCACTGCACTCCAGTCTGGGTGACAGAGTAAGACTCCAATTCAAAAAAAAAAGAAAACTAGTATTTTAAATTTTCTTTTCACATTCCCATACATCCAAATCATTAAAACAGACCTGACCACCTCCTGAGAAGACACCCAGAGAAAGAATGTTCTGTGTGTAGATGTAAGCGCGCGCACACACACACACACACACACACACACACACACACACACTACAGAAACACATACACACATCTGTACACACACATTGAAAAGGGTGATGATGAGGTACAACAGAAATTATAGTAAGGCAGTAATTTTGAGCCGCAATTAATATTATAGAGCTCTAAATACCAAAGTGAACTACAATTTTTTTTTTTTTTCGAGTCAGAGTCCCACTCTTTCACCCAGGCTAGAATATAGTATCATCATTACGACAATCATGGCTCACGGCAACCTTGACCTCCGGAGCTCAGGCAATCCTTCCACCTCAGCATTCCAAATAGCTGGAACTACAGGTGCACACCACCATGCCTGACTGACGTTTTTTATTTTCTGTAGAGACAAGATCTCGCTACATTGCCCAGGCTGGTCGTGAACTCCTGGGCTCAAGCAATCCACCCACCTAGGCCTCCCAAAGTGCTGGGATTACAGGTGTGAACCACCATGAACCACTTCTAATAGAAAATCCTAATCCATAGTATAAGTTTTTTCATCACTGTGATATGGCATCTTACAGAAGACACGGAATATTTCAAGGTAACTCACCATGCCATTATCCAATGAATTACAAGTCTATTCAAGAAAAGGGATTTCCAGTGCAGGGTAGAATTGAGGGAGGTGGGTAATCTGGAGGGCACAGTTTCTACCTACTCAGGGCTAGAATGTCCTAATTTTAGAAATGCTGGATTCAGTTACCTAGCAGGAAGAAAAAAAGCCCATTTATGAGATCCCTGTCTCCACACTATGCCCAATATAACACTATGCCCAATATAACCTTCACCATTCCGACTATTTTTCTCATTCTGTCTCTAGCTGTATCCCTATTCTGGAGTACAAAGACCCTGCCTCAAAATTTTTATACTGCTCCATTCAAATTTATAATACAGTACATGTTTATTCTCCCATGTCTATACAGTGCCTCACAGGAAATGGAATCTGAGCCTAAGCTCTCATTTCAACTAACATGTGCACCAATCAACTTCCCATGTATTATCCAAGGAACTATTAATCCTGTCAAGCCCAGCTGAGACCACACCAGGCTGGTTCATAATTGACTTGCCAATTTAAACTGTAGCTCAATTTTGGAAGCTAAGCTTCACTGTTAAACACTGCCACATGGATGAGGAAAGTGTGGTGGATAATTCCAAACAGAAACCATCTTCCACATGACACCAAGAGGATCGCATCGTATTACCTGAGTAAATGCCTGAAATATTTGTTTTGTTTATGTCCGAGGCACCAAATGTAAGCCAGGCCCATCTAATCCACATGATACCTCAGGGCGAGGTATAAATCTCATTTTATTTATCTGGTTTTTGAAAGGAAACTAGAGCACACAGCTCTGGTGCCATGAGTTTTGCAATGAGTTTATTGCAATGATGAGAAAAGAACAGAAGAACCAGTTCCCAGGGACAGGAACCACATCTCTGAACCAATTATGAAAAATGCACTATGATGAAACAAAGTAGGGAAAACCACACTAAAATGTTATTTTTATGTATGCAGTTTCCTCATTTATTTGGTTTGCGATTTTGCAATTTTTATTTTTTTTGAGTTGGAGTCTCACTCTGTCGCCCAGCCTGGAGTGTAGTAGCCACTCCCGGCCACCGCAGCCTCAACCTGCTGGGCTCCGGCGATCGTTCCACCTCAGTCTTCCGAGTAGCCGGAGTTACAGGCCCGCGCTACCACGCCCAGCTAATTTTTTATTTATTGTAGAGATGAGGTCCCGCCAAGTTGCCCAGGCGGGTCTCGAACCCATGGGCTCAGGTAATCCACTCACCTCAGCCTCCCAAGGCGCAGGATTACAGGCTGAGCTACCAAGCCTGGCT